ATGACAACACTGGGGTAGAATGCAGTTAGATCCGACACCGTAATAACAGACTCAACTCCAACTGGGTCAACATTGGAATTATGTTTTTGACACGGAGGACTTCTAAAAACATGTGACGAATTTTGGAACAAAGTAGATGGAGAGGTCTTCAGCTAATGAATTCACAGTCAAGTTGAATGTGCCTTGCTTTCAGAAGGAACAACTCAAGAGTTGACGAGTTTTCACTCATTTGCTAATTTGGTTTTTCGAGAGACACACCTGGGACCCAGCTGAATCTCTCATTTGTGATAATTCCAAGCAACTGAACTGAATGTGCCAGGACGCCGCATGGCTCAGTCGCTACGATATTCGAGATATCGCGGTATATGTATATTTGTAGTGCGCTAATCATAAGGTTGCTGAAATTTCGTCGACAGCCAACGACCGGTTTCCCCTTCTTAGGGCTCATCAGGTAGGGGCAGTCCCCGATGAATGACTTACAGGGGGCCGAACGATGAGACCGGTGCAAACGGTGTTACTTGCTCATCGTGCATCCACAGAGCCTACCAAAGGCGAGTCCCTCCTCATGGTGATGCATGGTCACCAGTGCTGTCTGATAATCAGTGCATATCCGGAGAAAATGCTTTCAAACGGAAGACGGATTACAGGTTTTTATAAACAAGGTGCATGAAATCGTTTCAGCTTCCTGGCCTATTATCTGCAAAAGTGCAGTGCGGATTTTCCGATAAACGCCTCTGCGAAGAAGAGCTTCCCTATAATCACTGGTACATGAATTACAAATATGCTATTACTGTATACCAACGAGTAGAATGTTGAGTCACCCCGAAATTAATGAGGCAGAAGTTCGTCACCTCGGACAGGCTCATGTCGACGTTTAAACTAAAGAAATGATATGCAATGCAACGCTGGTAAGTAGATAGGTGCTGTGGAAGTGCTTTCAACTACGTTTATGCTACTCACAAAATTGCTGAAAATTCTTTGAAAGCTCACCACCGGTTTTGTCATCCTTCGTTAACGGTCTCCGTGTTTCCATCTACCACGGAATCTATTTGAACGAAAAAGGACGGATTTCGAGAACTTTGTCTCATTTGCACATTAGTTCGGTTTTGACAGGAGACTCAGATGAATCCAGTTGAACTGTTGTTTGTGATCGTCCGCATCAACCGAATGCGGTGCACAAAACTGCTTAGTATTCCAGTCGGCACGATATTCGAGGAAAGCAATGCGCTGTTGTTTTAGTTACATTACCCATGACGTTGTTGAAAACTCTTGGACAACCCACGACACCTTTCGCCCTTCTTGAAGTTGAGAAATCGTGCGCAAATAAGAATAGGCGTGGAAATATTCTTACCCTAGTTAGCCAGCCTCCGCCAGAATATACCGAAGAAAATCGCACTGGTATTATACTTTTTCGGAGTACCCCACCTTAGTCGGCAGCTTAGGGCATCGAATCATAATGGCCTGACGGGGTGTATATGGGGTATTTTTTANGGCTATTCTAACTTTGATCGCAGTAGTAGAAAACTGATATTCAATACCAGTTTTGTGAGTTACACATTATTGATGATTCCCAAATAGGATGAAATAGCTGTGCAGTGATTCGCGGATTTTCAGTTAAGATTGGCTTCACTTAAAAGATAATTTGCAGAATTGCGGAACTTCCTCCCAGGAATTGGTCAGTCGAGGAGGCGATCAACACGTGACCTTGCAATGTGGTTTCCGTTATTGAATAAGGAGCGTCAATATGTCCAATTTTGGTGAGAGCTAATCGCACTATTAATGCGCCGGTCGGGAATCAACACCGTCAAGTGCGGAACGCACTAGTTGGACGGTCACGGGTTTGGTTCGACACTAACTGGATATTCGTGAAATGCGCGCGCACGATGATTCCCGGTAAGGATGAAATGGCTTCGTAGTGCTTCTAAGCCTTGGGGCATAAAATGCCTCTATTTACTTGAAAAAATTTCCACAGAAATATTCCCAGATATTTTCCGCACTACCGAAACTTGAGTTTGGATCTTTCCTTAGTATTCTCGTGGAGGGCGCAAGCAATTTTAACAAACTATATCCGGAAAGTCCGAATAGAATTGGCATCCAAGCCAAAATTTTGGGGCTTTTCTGGGAACAAGATTTCGGAGAATGCTGCCTAGAAATATCGATCGACTACAGCGACTCGCATAACGCCCTGATCAAGTCGTATCGAATGCTAACCTCAGATCGAATCTTCGCTTTTACACGTGTGACTGCGTTGCCTGAACGCTGCCTAAAATTCCTGTGCGCGATAACGAGAATGACCGTGAACCGGTATCGCAACACTGTCATTGGCATTCCGTTGCACTAACCAGTTGAATCCTAATGCGTTGGCTTGGAACTGACGATATACCACCTCTTAACAAGCGACTTACTCCAACCCTGTCAATCCGCGAGTTCTTGCTATGCTTAATGCTGGTTTGTTGCACCCAGGATGAAGTTGTCGAAATTCGCGGCCGATTCCCCCAATCATTATCGAGGCTATCTATAGTGAGTGACTCAACGAAGCGGTTGAGCTCCTTCCAACTTTATGCCCTTCCAAAAATCCACCAATTAGGGGTTTCGGTGCAACATATAATAAGGGTAATAGGTTCTTCACCGCATGAAGTTCTTTGCAGTTGTTTTAAAGCCCCTCACTGGAAAATATGGTGCCCACATTAGGAATTCACATGACTTCGCCAGCCGGATTCTCATACCCACCTAAGATATTCTGGCCGTATGTAGATGATGAAACTCGACACCCGCCTCTCGACTTCCACTCTGTAGGCTTGGGCAACCTGGCAGTATCCCAGTACTCGTGCAGCAATCGGGTGATATGGCAGTTGGGCACAGAACGGGCTCTATAACTGACGATTGTTTTGTTGATTTCCGGTGAATATTGGTTTTGATTTTCCAATATCTTGATTGTCATTATGTCAAGTTAAGGTGGTTTACTCAAACGGACTCTAGCGCCATGATGAGCCGATCCCGTTTCATAACATCTGCGTAACGCCAGAAAACTCTCGGCGAACACTGGAATCCGTTTAAAGCTTTCTGCTCAAACTGTCCCATGTACATGTTGGACAAAATCGGGAATATTGGTGATCCCAACACTAAACCTTGTTCTTGAGAGTATACACTTGAATTGTGTGGTACTTGGGGGTTGATTTTCAACGAACTGACGTCGCCACAGCGCCCACGTCTTGGAAAAGTACTCACCGGTAAGGAACACAACAAACAAGAAGCATCGGGCACACTTGAAATAAATTGAATCCAGGCTTTCGGATCAGCGTTGGTTGGGCACTCATCTTCGCACGTTTTTGCTAGACTGGTTCACTGCCTCAACATCCAATCGGGTGGTTTGTAAGTCTCAGTAGGTTTAGGGCATTCGCGAATAGGTTTCAGGAATCCGGGCATCGTAACACCGGATTTCTCGAGTGTTCATTCCATCTGAACGTAAGTGAATGAATAGGCGATCAGCAGCAGCACCCGGGGGCGGCAAAAGGGTCCGTGGATTCGTGCTCGTTGTTGACAAGTTCACATTTTGCATGAATCCGTGAAAATCAAACTGTTATTGAAAACATATCGATACATTTCACTTCGAGACGGCCACAAACCATACAGGCTATCATTTTTATGTGACCCTTCCGAATTCTAAAGGGTATTTTCATCAATACGAAGACTATCATTAGAGCATCAATACTAATTTCAGCTTATATGGTTTGTAAGCGTCAATCATCACTTCCAGGTCAAAACAATGTAAAAGAAAATCTTACTACGCACTCACCTAGATCAACCAGAGTAAATACCAAACTTTTGAGAGTCCAATAAGTTAGTCCAGCCTTATCTTGACGCACAGCAGCAACAAATTTTCCGAATACACATTTCCATTATGACATTTTAACACTAAAATCCGTATTGATGCCTCCATGGACCAAAGTTTTCAGTAAAGATACAGGAAGCCAGACGCTACATGAAACCGGTTTGCAGAATCAGTTTGCCGATCAGTACTGTCTGGAGCACACAGGCGCTCAATTCACATTTGTTTTAGAAAACACCCAAAATCATCAATATGCACGCATTGTTGAGAAAAGTTTGAGCAAATGATGAACAATTGAAGAAGCTGATCAAAATGGTTGATCATAAGCCGATTAGCTTAAACTTTGTACTGCAGACCTATTAGATTTGTGGTGGATGGCTTTTACGCACAATCGTCATACATTTGAAAGCAAAGTTCAACTCACAGGAGACGCACACTATAAAATTCGAGGCGCATGAAGCTTCAAATAAGCCGGGTATGCTGCGTCGTTTTTCGCTTATTCTCGCGTTCCTGTTCTGCATCGATCACGTTGGATGTTTGGAAGCCACCAGTTTCCACACTTGGTCATCCCTTTTTAACAACAAGCCGTCGAAGAACTGGGTTGTCCTGGCCGCTGGTTCCAACACCTGGGAAAATTATCGACATCAAGTAAGTTTCCGTTGGTTTTTTTATTGGCTTGAGATTCGAAAGTTCACCTAAATCCCGCGAGAAAAGGTCTTCGAAGTGTAAGTTTGAAATAATGGTCCCCAAACAGTTGTGTCGCACCTTGTTTTCACCATGGCTGCGATATTTCTCTCAAAAGGCGCCGGATAGAAGCCCGAACTAATGGACACGCTGAGGACACGCATTTCCTGACCTGCATTGGTTTTCTTCAGTATGTCCATGTCGTGGGGTCGATTCTTCGGTCCTATTAAACTCAGATGCTACTGAGGTGCATAGTGTGATTCAGATTAATCGGAAACCGACATCGTCACCAATAAGTGTTTTATGGTGCGTAATGTTAGGTGAAATGACGGCCTGTGATTGGAAGGCATGGTGTTGTATAAAACACGAATTCGATAGTTTTCAAGTTCTCACTAGTCCTCTGACCTGGCATTGTGGCTTCATCATATCAGAGGAAGGTTCACGGGCCCCGCAGGACCGTAGCCTAAAGTGAGCTGCAGGATACACCATGTCTCAGAAATCTCAACATAAACGACTGATGGACCAGCAACGTTTGGATGTCACGGCGAAAGCACCGGAACTGCTAGGCAATGTGAGCGGATAAATCTATACTACTTAGTGAGATCAAGTAGCGTGTGTTTGGAATAAACATATGCAAATCTATCTTCGTCAAATTCGTTCGTCCGCTCGCCTATCACTTGCATGGGGTTACTTGAGAATCTTATTGAAAAATTTACACATAATCAGTGCGTGTTTATCCATTTGGTTAATAATTTATTGGAACTGTGTTTCGCCACACGGTGACTATTTATCGCGCACACAAGCGAACAACATATTCGGACGTATTTTCTAAGCCAGGGGATACTAAGTTTGTACAGCTTCGGTCAGCAGGTCGTTGTTCAGACACTCGACTGAATGGGGCACTTTGGTCCACAAAAGCTTTTCCTGTTCTTGGGATAACGCACCCGAATTCTGGTTGAAAAACTGATACTCCACCAAGTATGGATTATCTTGCATCCTCAGCTTCCCTTCTTTAGCACGCCATGGATTAATCTGCCTCTTATACTTAATTTCCGTGTCATTGTTTTCTCATTCAGGCGGACGTATTCCATGCGTATCATGTCGTGCGTAAAAACAATGTTCCAACGGAGAATATAATTACCTTCGCATACGACGATATTGCAGACAATCCGAAGTAAATTTCACGTACAATTTTGGCTATGTGGTGGCAACGGAAGTGTAGAAACGCGCTTCGTTGTTTGGCTTTAACACGTCTCATTGTTTTGACGTCAATGAGAGATTCCTTTGATTGATGCGTTGTCATGACTCTAGACGCCATAGAACCCTGTTGCAAGCAGCACATGCTCATGATATTCATAATTGCGACGATGTTGATAATGATATGTATTAGTTTGAGTGCTCGTTTGAGTAGCATGCAATGTATCTCATTGATATCTAGATGCCATTTAAATGCTGCTGCCGCTGATGTTGATCATCAGGATGAGGAGGATGAAGATCAGGATGATGATGATGATTATGAGCAGGATGATGATAATGATGAGGATGATATGTAATCGTCCGATTTGTCGATAGACCCGAACGAAATCACATTGGTACCAAGATGTTTTAGTACATCACCTGTCTGATGATTTGAAGCAAAGAGTAAGCAGACAACCTAGTAAGCTAAGCATTTTGTAATGCCGCTAAACGGGAAAATAATCATTGAAGGTACATTTACCTAAAATAGTTATATTTTCGCACCAATTTTTTTTAATTTTCTTTGTTGTGTACTCTAAGGGATCATTGTAGGTTAACTAAATTATTACTGCGTAAAGGATTAGTAGTCACACTCAAGCGAATGTGTGACAGAACGTGCACTCACCGTCGGAAAATGTTATTTGAAAAGAAGCCCAGGAACCAAATTCCAGCAGTATTGATGAACCTTTCATTTGTTTCTGTTCGACCTAAATCTTAGATTCTCTCAAAAAACCCACCGTCACTTTCCGTACTTTTATTCCAGAAATCCGTTTAAAGGCAAAGTTTTTCATCACTACGAGCACGAAGATGTTTACAACGGTGTGGTAATTGACTACCGTGGAAAAGTAAGCCCCTGTTCCGGTGTGCAGCAATCAAGTGAATTCCTGCATCAGTTCATCGTGTAAAACAAGGTGCAAATAAATGACACTGGGGATCAAAACACCATACAAACAGAAGGACAGATTAATCAGTTTTACTGAATTACAGAATGGTCAATCTACTTGAACGAACACTAGTCATAACACTGATCATAGAGAACTCTCAGGCAACCAACTCTCAGGATCCCAAAAACTTCTGATTCTCGCTATCCAGGAGGGTAGCGTTCTTGTCAAAAGAACCATGAAAAGTGCACGAGGACCAACAGTGCACGAGTAGCTTTCTCGCGGAATAGCAACAACCAGCGAAAGAATAGAATAGAAAAAGATGCTCAACTGTGATTTAGTTGGTACTAATGAATGATACTCACTTCAAGATAGTGGCTATTTCTCAGGTATATTGCTTTCTTTCCCAACTGAGGTAAGGACGGGGCTACTCTAGTGCTTCCTGGTAGTCCGTGTTCAACTAAACTACAAACACCAGGCTCCAGGTGCAAATCCAGATATCATGCTTGGCAAAGAGACCAAAAATCGAATTCTTCAGTTTTCAGCATACAGCGACCATCGTAAAAATAATATGAGTGAAGATGGAGGTCAGACCGTAGATTTCAGTTATTGGTTATATTGCAAATGGATGATTACTGTGAATACAATGAGTGTGGAGAACACCATTGTCACAAGAACAATTGGTCATGCATGTTCATCCGTTTTAGGATGTCACACGGGATAACTTCGTGAAAGTGCTGAAAGGCGATAAGAAACTTGAAACCAACAAGAAGAAGGTGCTGAAAAGGTGGGTTTACGCGGAAGTGGATATTGCTGGTGCACTTCCTGATCACAGCCAGAATTCCAATTTAATGGGGTCACATTCATCT